AAATATAATATAATAGAACATGTTTATTTATTGAGATGCCCCTATGGACCTTGTTATAGGAGGTAAAGATCAGGAGAAGTAAACATGAAGTGTAATTATGAATACTGATGTTAAATTAAGCTATGATGAGTTTTCACTGTTAATTTAACATCTCAATTACATGTTGATGCCTCCATGACCAAGTTAAGCAGATGAGACTATGTAGAAGAAAAGATGTTCACTTTGCCTAATATGGTAGCTTGACAGAGTTCTCCATGTGTGTCCTGGTGTTCTCATGTTTCCTTACCTCCTCATCCCTCACTCCCTAACTGTCCGTGCTGGATCTGTCCCCGTTGTTTTAAAAAGCTAAATAAGTTATTAGCATGACGTCATGCAGCTAGCCAAACCTGTCTGGTGTACAGCTAGTAGAGAAGCTTCACATGTACTGCTTCCCTTTCCCGCTAGTCTGCTGTCTGATTGTGAGGTCAGGCTGATCTGGGATCTGTAATCTATCTGTAATCTAAAAATTTGATGTGAGCACTAAGCGCCTGGTCCATGATGTCTACAAGCACATCCTCGCTGTGCACCAGGTTCCGCAGCTTTGGCGGAGATTCTGCAGGCCAAAGAGCTCTTTGGTCTGCAGAATCTCCGCCAAAGTTCTCCTCTCAAACGGGTCTTGGAGGAGTAGTGCTCACGCTGGCGCTCGCCTGTAGAGACTTCTCCTGACGAGAACGCGCAGCTCGGGGCCAAAAGACTTTGGTCCCGAGCTGAATCTATTTGAGGACGCTGATTGGCTAAATTGTATGTCACTCATTTATGTCTTTAATCAGCAATTGGCTAAACTGCTTCATAGACCCGCCTCTTGTGGGCCATTTCTCGATGGCCCCAGCGCTGCTGAGACATGCAGACAGGCGGCGAGGACGTGCAGGAAAAGCATATAATTTACAAATATTACTGGGTACATTCCATATTTCAAAAACACAAATATTGACAATTTGTAAAATGTATTATTATTATAATGTTTTTTTTGTGGCTCAAGGAGGGGCGCTCAAGGTGGGGCCACGCCCCATGGCACTCTATTGGCCAGCCGCCACTGCCTTTAGCCAAGACTTGGGGTTGCTTTTATTGAAAGAAAGTGCATAGTGCTGCTCTAAGACTATGTCACTGCCCTTGCAGAAAGCATAAAGCCATTCCCCTCCTCTTCTGGTGTGTGTGCTGTGTGTTAATGTTATAGCTTGCAGTAATTGCTGGACTCCCACAATCCTTGGAGATCATTCCATATGTGCAGGGACAGGTGATTTTATTTGGATATAGTGCAGGTGGCTTGACTGAGTAACTGTATATGCTCTCATCCCACCCACCATCAATTAGACCTTGTTTACTCTGGAGGGCTATCTGTCCATGGCCGGGGCCTGCGTGTTTAGGTAGTCTCTAATGGGGCTGTAGGCCGTCGTATAAACTCACTAGTAAAAAGGAAGCAACTCTGGGTCTTTATCAGACAAACACAACCTTGGACTTTACAGGGAGAGTCTTTTTACAGGTTCAAACAACAGCATTTGTTCATCAACATGACACAGACTGGTGTAACCCTGTTCCTATAGGCTGTAGATGGGCAGAACCACGCTTAACGTCATATCTTCATGTTGTATGTGTGTGTGTGTGTGTGTGTGTGTGTGTGTGTGTGTGTGTGTGTGTACATTATGCTCAAATCTGGTTTGTGTATCTACAAGAACGCAGGAATGTGTGCATGCTCGCGTGTGAATGAAATGAAAAGTCATTTGCAGAGCTCCAGCTGTTTCACACAGAGCGCCAGGGAACATGAGGCACGGGTCCAACCAGCTGAGCGCTGCACGCCCATCACTGCAGCCAGTCAGATCCAAGTAGGACAAGCTCAGCACCTACAGGAACGGAATGTGTGGCAAACACCTCATTACACTGAACAGAGATGGAAGTGAATCTATTCGGTGCTCTCCACATGTAATTAGAAATGCGACAGATACTCCTTCGCAGGCTATAAGTGAGGATTGTTTTGCATGCGTTATAGTGTGAGAGTTCAGCCAAATATGCAGATGAAGCAAATTTAGTGTGTGAAAGGTAAGAGTTGTACTGAAGGATTTGGCTCAGATGGGCATCACTAATATATGAGGTGTCTGGACTTTATAAAACTTTACTGAAGGGTTTAAGGAATGGCATAGCAGCTATAGACGCTTACAGCAGATATTGTCAACTACTGAGCAGCGGCCCATTGGCGGTCCTCAGAGCACCACCTATTGGGCCGCAGAGCTACTGCCAAATGGTTCAAATCAATTTAAAAAGATACTTTTTGGTTAATTTACAAAGCTAGTTATTAAATTAAATTTCTAAATTTTCTAATGAATTCACATAACTACTTCAAACAAAACATAATTTCCATGACCAGCCAATCACACATCATAGAGAGAAAGGTGTTTTGCCACTGTTAGCTGATGTGTGAGACAATTCCCTGCGCCAGTAAAAGCTCCAAAGAGTGAGGTGAGGAAATATGACCCTGAATACATTAAATATGGATTCATAATGACAGGCAGCAATGGTGAGCGGAAGCAGAACATTTATTTTGGTCATTAGCTGACAGTGGCATAACACCTATTTAGGCAACAGCCTGGGTTTTTTTCTCAATAAGTTGGGAAGGTGCTCCTTGGTAATTCAGGTTAATAATCAGAAGATGGCCTTACGTTACAGAGAACCCCTGGCTTACAGTCTTTCAATCTTCAAACAGGAGGGTGCTCCTTATTAGTAATGTAAATAAAAGTAAAAATAAAAAAAAAAGAATGACTAATTAACACTTCTGTGGAAAAGCTTGCACCGAGCTGAAGAGATGGTCTGCGGAGCTCGCAGAGAGCTGCAGAGACGCACCGCGTTCTTCTACCTTTTCATATCTGTGGTTAGGGAGCAGACAGCATCATATCAACTAAAGTTTGAAGAGGCCAATATCTGTTGGTCTTCTGTATCTCCTAAATTCCTCACTTCTCCTATGCAGATGAATAAAAAAGGTACTTACCAAATAATTTATACACACAGAGAACCATCAAGAGAAGGACATGTTCATGATACCAGACAGATAGAGAGGCTTTGATGCCATTACCCACAGTCTCTGTTGTGAGACATGAATGTGGTGCTGAGGTCTTTCAAAATAAAACCATAGAGGTGTTAGTTTAGACCAGCAGCTACTTTTTAGACGGACACCAGTTGGGGTCCACACTGGGATCTAAGTCAGTGTTGCAACACCTGGCTCTTAAAGATATAGTATTGGCTAAAGTAAAAAATGACCACAGACCAATAAACTCTGCTGAACGGATTACAGTGTGTGTGTGTGTATACAAGTTTTTCCCAAAGCAGACAAGGTTTCAACTTGTAGATACAAGTTGAAACCTTGTCTGCTTTGGGAAAAACAGAGATCTGTTAAGAACCAAAACTCTCCAACATGTTTGAATAATGTTTGTCTCACAGACAAAATAAATGGACAACCTAGCTAGCTAGAGTTAGCTCCCCCCACACACCTTCACATTGTGTCACATACTTGAAGTTGAGTTGAAATAAATCTCTGGATGTTCACTGATCGCTTTGGAAGTGCAGGGTGCAAGTTGTGGCCAGGGTTAGTTTGTAGAGATGCTGAAGGTACATTTTAATAATGTTGTGATAAAATAAAGTTATGGTAAAATAAAAAATAAATCACAATATTATTACTACTAGAATATGTTGGTGACAACACAAATGAACCAGGTTTTACTTGGTGTACAACTCTTTTGCATGGAGTGTGTTTTAAAGACAAAGAAACTCTAAAAGGTTCAGTATGCTTCAAATGTACAAATCAATCCTACATGTAGGACTGGCAGTGCATTTAAACAAGTCGCTCCTCAAAGAAGTTCACGGTTTTGTGCTTGGTTATAAGCGCAAAAATTTCACGGAAGTATTGGTATGAAGAATTAAAAGAGAGAGCTAGAGATAGAAGTCTGATCTTTACCTAGGTTCACGCCTCAGTATACCTGGTCAATCACTGCCATGTGGGCGTGTTTGTCAGATTGTCGTTTTGGGAATGTTACAAAAATTGAGGGACCCCTCCCTCCTAAATCCAACATCAGAAAAGCATGGGTACGTTATTTGACGATCTGGCAAGCAGTCTGAATAAGCATTGTGACAATGATAATAATAAACTTAACTGTAACATTAGAAGAATACCATCTGCCTTTGCCTGCTGATTTGTGTTGTGTGTTCATGTCTTGCCACTTTGCACCATCCAGACAACCATTTGACTTTTTGGGGTGTGTGTGTCAGTCTGTCCAAATAGAAACAAACGTAATGATGTTCTGTTCTTGCTTTGGCTTTGCATTTATGTTTTATGGGTGTTAGTGTTTGTGTTGTTAGTGTAGTGCTCATGTTATTTTACAAGGTGGTGACCATGACCAAGACCTATGTGGAGATCGATCGCATCCGGGCAGTGTGTAGCCTATGTATTGGGTGGTCAATGTGCAATATAAAGCTTAGTAAACCTGATGCTACAGTGTCTTGAGCTATATCTTCCATGCAATTCACCAAAGTACATGTAGTTAAATGTTTATATTGACTCTTATTCAGCCATGTTGCCCTTGTTATAGCTGTTAAAGCTATCTCTACGTTGCTGTGTATGTACAATGCTAGCCACTAAAAAACGAAGTCAAATTCTTTATATGGGAAGTGTACTCATTCCTTGCTAATATAACAGATTCTGATTCATAGTGCACACTTAGACTGATAAAACTGAAATGTACACAATCAAACATGTGAACATAACATGTAGCTAGAGTACTGTTGTTTACTAAATTAATGAATGAGTATAAGGTTAGGGGAAAGCCAGTTGTTCCCCATCTGGATGACATGTACCAAGCATAACGTTGAGTTATCATGCACTGCCCTCTAGTGAAAAAACAAAGTTACCGTAATTTGACACGTCATCAACAGTGCGCCGTAGTATTTCACGCATGCGCAAGAGTATGGAGCAGACAAATTTCAAACTGGACGGCGGGTAACTAAGTCTGGACAGAAAAAAAAAACACACAACAGGGGTTCATTGTCAAGAATTTCACAAAAAGTTGAAGAAAATGACCAGCACATTGAAAGGAATTACTCTCAAGGGAAGCGCCGAGCTGGTGGCCGAGTTCTTCTGTAAGTATTTATATTTATGCTTTTCAACTCGTTTGGAGCGCATTCCACACGCAAACATGCAGTGCTAGTATGCTAACGTGACTGGGCCGGGTCTGTGTGCAGTTTTAATGTTTTCAACATGCCAATCGGAGCTCAATTCAAATATCTGAAAATCGTGTTTGGAGCTTAACGTTACGCACCAGTTTACATTTGGGCACATAACCAACCAAAGATAATTTTGTTAAGTTAAATGTGTTTTAACTTGAGGCTACACAGTTTACAGTGAAGTGTACCTCCCACCAAGTACTTTCATGGTGAAAATGTGGAGCGTAACACACGTTACGTTAGCTTAACAGATAAGATAAGGGGGTATTCCGAATACTTACGGTTACGTTACAAATGGACTCAGTCAAAAACAAACCAGGAGACTAACCTTTCCTTCGAGATGTCGGTCACTATTTAACGTTACAAGTTGTATCGATTGTCTGGAAGCATAGCAACGTTAGCATTGATGGACGAGGTTCGCTAACTTGCTTTAGTGTTAGCTTACTGTGTTTTCAATGCTACATTGATTGAAAAGCAGACATGCAGAGCGTTCGTTCGTTAGCGGTGCTGCCACGTTTACCACGACAAAGGTCCGTTAGCCCACTGCGATACTTTATGCGCTTTATGTATGTGTTGTATTAACTCATTTCATTCTGTTCAGCTGTGAGCCGCTTGCCTGTCCCACTCTCCTACAATGACAGAGTGATAGTAACGTTATGGTTTCATGTGGATTCACTCTCTGCACCACAGCTTTTGGCATCAACAGCATCCTGTATCAGCGGGGCATCTATCCTCCAGAGACTTTCACCAGAGTCACCCACTATGACATGAGCCTTCAACTGACCACTGATCCCAAACTGAAGAACTACCTGACCAATGTGGTGTCTCAACTCAAAGGTAGCCTCGGAGGATTGCTTCTTTATGCCTTGAGTGGCTTTCCTCAGGATAATTTACTGTAGGTGGCATCATAAATATAAGTAACGTTTTTATGTTCTCATGTAGTTGTTTCATGTTGACAGAGACAACAGGTAAAGTCATTTAGTCAGGACAGTGGTGCCATTGCCGTAACGTGCTTTATAAATTGAAGTTCTGCACTGGTGTCAGACTAAGACTTGAACCCAGCCCATACGCCAAATGACTGAATCTGACCTGTACTGCCAAAATTATTGTTTTGTTCCATTAATTACCAAAAGTCGGCGTACCGCGCTAATGCAACCTATTGACTGTCAGTGTTCCCATCTGGCATTGTATTTCTACTTGCTAAATATGGCACAATTAAACAAACTGATTTCTAAATATATTGCAATTGAAAACTAACCAAACCTGAAACCCCTGAGCATAAAGCTGTATGCAGCTAACCCAAATCATGATGGGTTCATGTTCATTATAGGACTCCAACAAATGCTAATTTTCATCATCGATTCATCTGCCAAAATATTCATCATTTGGTCCGAAGTGTTAAAAACTCTAAATGTTCATTTCTTCATCTAGTAAAACCCAAACACATTCAGTTTATTATAATTTAAGATGAGGAAAAGCAAGAGATGCTCACTAGATTAACCTTTGATCAAAATAGTTGTCAATTCATTTTCTGTTGCTCAATGAATCAACTAATTGTTTTAACTTTTGTTGCAATTTTAACTATACTTTCATGTGATATGTCAAATCAGATGACCTTCAGCTCTCTTTAAGAACTCATTATTTGTAATTAATAATATTTTCTTTTCAAGTTGTGATGAAAATGCACTTCCCTTTGTTTATAGCTTCAGCATTTTGAGAATGGACGTACAGCAGGGTTAAGCCAGTGTGAGTTTAAGATAACTGTCATATTGTATTGTGCACTTTTGCATTGATAATGGACTAAATGTATTTAAAAGAAGTGGAGTCCTCAGTCCCTGAGTCATTCAAATACATGTATGTTTTTCTATCTATTTTGTACGGGCAGAAGAAGGGCTGTGATGTTTTGGATCCCTTTCCCACTGTTCAGTGTCAGGATACAGGGGTTTGTTCTCTGTGTTGCAGAGTGGCTGTTTGAGTGCACAGTGCAGAAGTTTGTGTTGGTGATCACATGTCTGGAAACCAACAAGGTGCTGGAGAGATGGCAGTTTGACATCGAGTGTGACAAATCAGCCAAGGAGATCAGGTCAGCTCCGCTACGTCTACCGGCCCTTTAAAAGTCTCACAATAGTTCATTTAGCTGCATTCTTTCAAATAGTTCAGTAGCATTTCAGACCACTTCATCCTTGAGTTTAGGTGATGAATGAAATAAAGATTCAGTGTTCTTTATTGTGTGTGTGTGTGTGTGTGTGTGTGTGTGTGTGTGTGTGTGTGTGTCATCATTTAGTTGTCCAAAACTACTAAAAACACATCAGGGAGTCGCACTCTATTTTGAATAGAGTGTGACTCCCACATACACTGTCCTGCTTTCCCAAATCACTACAGCAACAAGTGTGTATTCATCCACCGATGCAAATAGTCCCTGATAAATGCATGCATATTTCCTCCTTTATGATAAAACCCACAGTGGCCAGCTGTTGTAGGGAAATTATTTGACCATTTCTAAAAAGGAAACTATATATTCTTGACCTTTTTTAAGGATTTACATTTTGGGCTTTGGTTAGAGTGACACGGACAAGGTGGGGAAGTCAGTGAGTACTTAGAGGTGGATTGTTAGTTACACACACAAGGAACAATATATAATATTGTCTTATTATAAGCAACTGTTTAGAAGACATTTTTAAAGAGTCTACTCCAAAAAACTATAACAGTTGCTGACTTTAATGCCACAGAACTAAATCCACTTGTTTGCATAAGTTTGGGGTCTTCATAATGAAAAGTTACCAGAGGTTACACACCATTAACAGCTGATCATAACACAAGCTTGTACTCTGTAATTGGGCAGGATCCTGTCGCCTTAGTTTAGACGGAGCATCAGTTGATCAGCTATTTTCCTTCATGCTCAGCTGACTAGTAACATCCAATAACATTCCTAGCATTATGCACATGTTCATGGCCTGGCAGCTCCCACAATGCCTCACTTCAGTGTGTATGTACACAGTACTTCAGATCATGCATGTAACTCACTTCTCACGTGTCACCCAGTGCTCCCAGAGAGAAGTCCATTAAGACCATTCAGGATGAGATCCGCTCAGTTATCAGGCAGGTTACAGCCACAGTTACTTTCCTGCCGCTGCTGGAGACGCCGTGTGAGTAGCCACAGCCGTTTGTACCAACAAACTCGTATTGGTCTCCATTTCAGTTTTCACTAAGTTGTCAGTTGACTAATCCTTTGACACGCTGATCTTTGCCTTCTCTTCCCCAGGTGCATTTGACCTCCTTGTCTACACAGACAAAGACCTGATGGTTCCTGATAAGTGGGAGGAGTCTGGTCCTCAGATCATCGACCAATCGGAGGAGGTTCGCTTACGCTCCTTCACCACCTCCATCCACAAGGTGAACAGCATGGTGGCGTACAAGAGGACGGACTCAGCTTAGACCTCTAAACCACAGTGCCCCTCCTCCTATGAGCTGTACATACCACCAACCACTGCCCTATAGAGAACAGTATATTCTACAGTCGCTGTCTGAGTATTCTGTACACAGAGAACTGCCATCTTCACTGTGTCACTTGTCTTTTTGAGAGGAACGTGACGGCCCCCTGCTCGTCTACACTGATGTAAATATTTCTCATTAGCTATGATCTGTGATCTCTTTTCTTTGGTAGTGCCTTTCCTTTCTCCCAGATGGTCAACGTCGGTTTTAGAAGCTAGTGCTTTAGATGTTAATCTTTTTTAACATGTCATGAATAAATGTCTTTCACAAAGGTTTTTTTTTTTGTGGTTTTACTGCTTGTGACCAGAAGGTGGCAGTGCAACATGTTGGTTGGTTTCAGGTGATTCTGTGGTTTGTAGTGTTCACATTACACAGTATGTCAAGTTCTACAACCATACACGGGACACATAGAAAATAAGCATTGCTCTTTAATGGGAACAACCCAGAGACGGAAGCAGTGAGAACTTAGATATTCAGTTTTGTGAAGAAGCACAGAGGTTAAGCAACAGACACATCAAGGTAGGAAACACAGCCACAGATACACAAATGAGACTCCTGGGCATGTGTAATAAAATGCACCTGTTACTGTCTTCTGTATAATGAATCGTACAATAGACTCGCCAGACTCATTGCACTTCAGGCAGGACCCTGCTTGGCCTCATGTATGTAATGAAACTTTTCAGTTGCTGTAACTTGAAATATTGCTTTTTGGCTGAGCTTCAGTAATGAGACTGCTTAAAGGGTGAGTACACCCTCACATTCTGCTACCTTCCTCACAGCATATTTCAAACTTGCAGCACAGGCTATGTAGTTTGTGAGCTGGAGGGTCCAGGGACAGGAGAGGTGTGGCAGTCAGAGCTAACCAGCAGCCATTGTCAGACTCTGTCTCTGCAGGAAAATCTGGTGGAGCTTTGACCGTCACTAGAAGCACCTTTGTGTCCCACTGACCGAGTCCCTGTGTGGGCTGCTGTGTTGTAGCTGAACTAGCAGATCTACGAGAGGCTCTGCAGGGGAGGGTCAGTAAATAGCCATAGCCCTGCTGTTTAAAATGCAGCACAGTGATCAGTTTTGTTTACTGACACTGCAGACAAACAAATCCTGTTTGTGGCTTGCTAATGCTACTAGCAGCTATGTGTGCCCTGCTTTTTATACTGAGCGTGGATGCTGCTACCACAGTAGGGGGCGTGGTCATCAGATGTATAGACCTGTAGAGTCTTACTTTGTTACAGTCAGGGAGAGGCCAGAGAATTCAGCTGAACCAAACTTTGAAATTCAAGTGGACACATACACATAATTATAAGCTTCTTTTTTTACGCATAGTATGAATAAAATTGGGAAAATCACCTGTTATATGCTGACAAGAATTTGTGATTTTGTGTAATCAGTTTTTGGGTTTTTTCCTCTTTAAATGCTATTCGGCCCTACTCTCAGAATTGATCCAAAATGGAGTTTGCAGGCCTGTTGGTATTGGTACCAAAACTTGCACATGGTACTCTCATTATTATCATTGACTTTATATGAGAGCTAGTTTGGACATGTGTTCTACCAGCCTGTTAGTGGTTGCTGTGTCAGCATCTGCCAGTTACAAACCAACAAACAAAAACGTGGTAACTTCACTTACCATTCTGATACTTCTGCTTGCTGCCGCTTTTGGTGCACAACAGTTCTCATTTGGGTCAAACATGTATGCTGGAATCTTTCCAATGTTTCCTCTAACTGAATAGACCAGAGGCCGGAACTGTCGCTGCACATTGTGAGCCTGACGTGGAAGCTTCCCGCCGCCATCTTCATGCACACTGCTCAAGAGAGGGGGGGGGGGTGAAGGCTTATCTACATCAGTCATGACCGAAATAACCACTGCTGCTGCTTTAATACATGTTCCAGGTAAACCAAAGGCCATTGTGTCTGAGTTTATAACATCATCTGGAGGCACTCTGTGAATTTCACTGTATGTCGGTGTATTTACTAAGGCTGTATGAAGCCAAGATAAACAGATTTTGCTGTAATTTAATAGCAATAAACTGAAAGGCTTTGGCGATACAGCGTCCTTTGGGCCGCCCGGCATGAATTTGTCTAACCGTGTCTTGTGTGATCACAGCATAGGAATTATGAACGCCTCTGTATTTTTGGGAAATGCGATACATGTTGTTTCTGTTGCCTTCTTCAGATCTGTCCCTCGACACAATACTATCTCTATACTTCCACCTCGCTGCTCGTTTTTGCTCTGGTGTGCACTGTGAGACCAGACAGGTGTCTGCCTTTCCAACTCATGTCCAATATATTGTATAACCAATCAAGCCTCTCAGAGCTGGTCAATAAAAATGGGAGGCACCTGAGTTAAATTTCAAGTGTAGTGATATTTCTTTTCTTTTCTTATTTTAATTGCAAAAATATTCGTATGACATTTTTTCGCTTTGTCATTATGGGATATTGATGAGGGGGGGAAAATGAAAATAAAAGATTTTAGCAAAAGGCTGCAACACAACAAAATGGGAAAAAATGAAAGGCTCTGAATACTTAATGCACTGTACTAGAAAGTTGTAACCATTGCAGCGGTGCAGCAGTGTTTTTCTCTCACTGTGATTGAGTGTCATTTGTATCTTTAAAGAACCCGTGTCAGCATAAAGCCTTGATACTTTCTGAATTATTTTCACCAAGTATCGTTGATACAATCAGGCTTTGCAGTAGAAGTAGAAACTGTCTGAAGTATTTGGGCCAATCATTTCTCTCTTGGTGAATTTCTTGTACATCAATTCAATAAGAGAAGCTTAATGATGGATACAAGGTGTTAATAAATGACAGTGTACCAGAGCTAAATGGTATACTTGTGCCATCTTATTGGTTTGTTTTTAGCAGAGTTCAGTTATGCAATAGAGCATAACTGAAATGAAAGAGACCTAGTAGTAAATCATGACACCGTCTGGTCAGGCTGCTCACAATTTAACGCAAACGTTACTTCATCGCTCAATATATAATAAAGTAAAACAAACAGCCTCTTATAGTGGGAAAGCATTAACGGATGCAGAGACATGTGGACAAATACAAACTTTTTTTCTTTTAATTGTGAATTGGTCCTATTTTATCACAAGGCAGTGGAAAAATGTAGACCTAGTCTTTGGCTCCTTTACATTTTGAAAAAATAATAATTCTAAGTTTCAAACAACACAAAACAGTACATTTCCAAAGAGTTGTTCCTAAAGGTCCTTCAAAAAAGCAGAGACAGGATTTGTTAAAGTATGAAAAGTACATTTCCTACATAAAGCAGTGTGTGCTCGTGACAAAAGGAGAACCGTACGATATAGAAACTCTAATAAATATATCAAACAAAAATAAATATACAATAGACAAGACAATGAGTGAAAAAAAAGTTACAAAAGACCCTTGTGTGTGTATTCTGTGAACGAAGGCATTTAACAAGCTTATCAGATTATTGTGACGCTATGTAAACTATATAGTTGGTACAATATCTGGACTTCAGTGTTCCCCTAAATGTTACTACCTGTGAGTGATAATATGTGAGACTTCAAGATGAAAGCCACTCTGTGCAAAAATAAAAAAGGCTATTGTAATAAATATAGCTTAGTGCAGACTCTGTTATTTTCTCTGGTGAGTGACGCCCATGGAAAAATGGTGACGATAGGAAGACAAGTCTCACACAGTTTGGCGAAATGAGTATGACCTCTGAAACAAGGATTATGTGTCATGTGCACAACATTGCACTTCATTGTCATGGGAGTTGGAGTTTAAGGTTTTATGTTAAGGTATATTACAACCTGGGTCTTATTTTCATAGATCTAGCCATCGTTTCTATCTGTTCTATGTACTCAGTTAAGTTATTACTGAGATCTGGGAACACGGCGATATTGTTACAAAAAGTCAGCTTTTAGATGATCCGAATGGTTGTAAAGCTTATGGAAGCTTTAAAAAGTCTTTTGGAAGCTTTAAAAAGTCTTAGTCTTTTCTAGTGATGCTGCCGCATTCCTAGATCCGAGTATTTAACTTGGTGAGCACAAACTAATTATTACAGACAGGAAGGGACAAACCTACAATGAGACCAAAGTTGCAGGAAACTGTTGTCATTTTTCATGTGTAAGCAAAACTCTCGGCATAAGTTGGGACCTGAACCTGCTCAAGAGTTGGTCAATTTGAAGGAAAGTGTGTCTGCCCCTTTACTGTCAAACCAATCTAAAGTTTTTTTTCAGCAGACAATCTTTTCTTGTTAGAGAAATTATCTCATTTGTCTTTTTAGATGTCATGCTAATTTCATGACATTTTGAGAGACCAGGTTGGACAGGAAAGACCCTGGAAATTTGTGCTGGTGTTGGGATCACAGCAAGCCGTTAACCAGCCCCTTCTCGCACTCCTCGGCCAAATGCTTCCACTGCTGCCGGTTTTCCTGACATCCTTCCAGCAGTGGGGAGCAATACTCCGACATGCCAGCCAAAGTCTGTGACAGTGACAAAGAAAATGTTAATTCATCTTTGGGGGAAATAATAAAAAGATTTTCCATCTTTGGCATTGACAAAATGCCCTTTCCAGCTTTTCATTCGGTACAGTGGTTTCTCGCAACAAAAACAGTCAATTTGTTGTTAAATTGTTGGATTTACCTCATACAACTGAGTGCAGATGGCATCAATGAAGGACACCTGCATGCTGGGTATTTTATCTCTCTTCTCACGATTCATCAGGTCCTAAGGTAAAAGGATTGAAAAAAATGACATGTAAACAAAATGAACAAACTGTCCATAACATCTAACATCATGTAGTGACATATTTCAATTGCTTGTTTTGTCAAAAGGCAAAAACCCAAAGATTTTTCATTTTCCATCATGCATGCCAAATGAAAGTGGCAAATCCTCACATTGGAGAGGCCAGTGGTATTCTAGCTTGAGAAATGACTATAAAAAGATAATCAATAATTATTTATTGTTTATTTGATCAGCTGCCTAACTACGCAGGGCGGGTCTCCAAGTAAAGTTATGGGATTCATAATTATGCCATAAGGGCCCATTGAAGTAATGAAGCCAGATAAAACCATGATAACTGGTTGGTTTGTCTCTATGGTAAGGTAAGGTCATCTTTATTATCCCCGTGGGGCAATTTGTTGCACAGCCAGCAATAATACAATTAGCACACCAATCAGAACACAATTCACAAAAATGACAGTGTTAATCAACACTACATGCTATTTATGACAGAGGCACAGACAAACTGGCAGGAGGCTGATTTTAGTCCGTGTGACTTTTCATAAGATATGATTCATAATATAATAACAAATACAAAATAATAGTAATTATAATTATAAACACCTGATTTATGTCATGGTTTAAGCAAAAGACTTTAAGATTATTCATAATTATATATCTAATATGCAATTATTTAAGACATCAATAGTCCTCCAGTCATCAGGGAACACACATACATATAGTTGAGTATCATCAGCATAGCGCTTAAATGAGAGGCCATGTCTTTTGATGACAACAACCAAAGCACATGAAGATTAAAAACAAACCCGTTACGGATCCCTGAGGCACACCACAGCTTAGAGAGGTGTTGATCACACAGAATAAACTCCGACACTTACAGTGGGCTCAATGTTCAGCTCCTGTCTCTCCTTATCCCCCTGCTCGAAGAACTCAGTGGCAACCAGCTCTGCAATCTGCATCAGAGAGAAGAAACTGCTTAGTTCAACTATAATCTTTAACCTAAAGCAGACATATTGATTCAAAAAGTCAGTGGAAATTTTGCTGATGAAAAGAACACGACAAAAAAAGAACCATCAAGGACTTGTATCTTAGCAACAATATTAACACTTAGTTCCAAAAGTGGGTTACTACATGCAAAAAACTTGCAAGAGTGTTTTTATCCACTTGTGATACCAAGGACAGAAGAAACTGTTCAGGTATCACAACAAGGAAAACATCACAGTCTGATGAGATTAAACTGATTTTTCAAACTTTTCTGTCAACATCAATATTAAATCCTGAGGGGTTTCTTTAGAACAGGGGTCTCAATGTGCTGAAATATATCATTGGCTGTGGTACGGCTGCGCACAGAAACTCAGCAACTCTTCTGTAACTTTTAATTGGCCATTAATATTAATATTAATATTAATGTGTTTGCCGATAGAGAGATATTGTTGAACAAGCTCTTCTTTTCTGGACGTAGAATATCAGTGATTTACAACATACAATTCTTCAGAAATTGCGCTTTGGTGAATGGCTTTCCTGCTTTGGCGGTTAACTTAACCACATAACTTGCATCAATGGCAGCAGCATCCTTCTTGGCTTTATGGAAAAGACATTGCTGAGACTTCAAGTCTCTGGCGCTGCGTGGCTCGTTTGTTTCTCGGTGTCCCTGGTATTTCTCAGAGTTTAGTCGAGTAATGATGTTTGAGATTATATTTCTATGAAACAGCAACTTTTCCTTCCTACCAGGCAGGTAGCTTAAACTTCACAAAAGAAACCCTGCAATGTCCATCTTTCTGGAAACTGTCTGAGTTCATCCACTTCCTTTTCGGTTTAAAAAGAGACCTTTGATCTTTGTTGGTTGCAGCCAAACAACTCTAATAATATGTTTTAAACAGAAATATATTTGTATTATTTGAACTGTAAATGAAGGAGTTGTTTAAATTGGTATAAAAAATAGGAAAAAAATATAAATAAAAAAAATATTTTGCATGCCAGATTATTTTATATTTTTGACATCATGTCACAGGCCATTCCCTCTCCGTTTCTGGCTGCCGGCAGTTTGAGACCCCTGCTTTAAATGGTAAAATTACTTGCATTTATATACCACTCAAAGCGCTTTACACTACATTTCAACATTCACCCATTCATACACTGCTGTTTGCCCAGCGTCCACACGGCAGACACAAAGTTAGCTGGTGAGCATAGTGGAACATCTAGCAGCCAGATATTTCTCCCAGGAGTTGGTAGAGACCAAAATAGAGGTAGGGAGAGTGAATAATACATTCATCACGTGGACACAAACATGACTCCAAAAACATGTATATTCAATTAAATGATGTCAATTTTGGTGGCAGTCCTTTTGTCACTTCCTGAGTATCCACTAAACCTAAAACAAAATGCAAATCTCAAAGTGATTAAGGTTCAGTTAAACCATTCATAAACTAAAATGGAACTCCAATGAAAAGTAAAGAGGAAATAATCTTCCCTTTAGTTTTAGCAGAGGAGAGAGGATGTTTAAGTGAGGGAACATATTTGCATGTTTACTTCCCTGAATGTTTTTTTCCAAGAGGACTGAGGGCACAGCTGTTTTCATTAATGAGCACTCACTTGTCAACACGCCACCACATACACACATACATAGAGTGCCTGTCTGAACTTCTCTCCACTGTGCCTGTGGTTCCTAACGAGATGCCGACTAACAGAGGTCAGCGGGGAGATGAAACAACAGGGACACAGCTCTGAGATGGATAAGGAGAACTATGAAACAAATATGTGTGTGAGTGTGTGTGAGATAAAACAGAGTGCTAAGATGTAAACAGAGTCAGAAATGGTAGGATCAAATATGACGACAGAAGAAGATATTAAGCAGTGCTGCACTGCTCTTTGCTGTAGAAACCTTTTAGCATGTTGCACTTCAGGTTAGACCCTAATCAGTGACAGAAGATGTTTTGCCTTTGAAACTGATGAGAAACACCTGTTGTGACATCACTGATTGGGGTGTGGCCTGAATTGAAAGATGCTAGAAAGTCTCAGCCAATAGAGATCAAATCAGCAGCTTTCTATCCTCTGTCATTCAATAGAGAACTAGCCAATGAATGACTACTGCTGTAATTTAAACAATGTTTGCCCTACCATTTACCTAATTTATGTGCCATTGTTTCGTTTCAGCTCAGAATGAGTCTTTACTGCCCATCGGCCACACCCCGAAACAGACCACAACAAAGCTAAAAGGAGAGTAAATGTTGGACTAAAGCGTTTGACATACTATCTGCGTCCGCAGTAAGCCGCAGACTAGTACCAATCACGCAGACGTGCACGTCGATCCATTCATACTACAATTGAGGGTCTGAGTCGGTTGGCATTCCAAGCATGCATATTACCCGATCCACACGCTATTCTATTTGGGAGCAGTAATGCACCATAATGCTGTTTACCAGGAGTCTTTTGTATTCTTTTAGAGACAATAATATGGGTAACGGCGGATCTCCTCGAACAACCTCTCTTCATAACAAGCATCCATTTGATCTTTTTCTTCGTCTTGGCAAACCAGATAGAGGTACCAACTGGACTGGAGTGTGGAACTATACTGGAGCATGTGCAGTCAGCGCATATGCTATGCCACCCATAGGTGCATGGCGACATTTACATCACGCAAACCACAGATGAGGAAGGTATGAATTGGCCTTTACATACTGCTAATGTTGCTCTGTGTCTGCTATGTAAATGAGAAACTGTTTGCCAACACCATAAAACTACATGGGGCTGTTGCTATGCCACTATTATCCTGGACGGCAGATGGATTCTCGCAATATCACGAGAGCACACCGCAATCACAGGATCACAAGATCACACAAGAATCGATCTTGTCAGGCTTCAAGTAAAGCGTTTGTGTCAGAACCACAGTGTTACGGACCAATCAGTGTCCTGTGAGGAGTTACTGGCAGCTACGGGCGTGATTTAGGTGTGTGTGATGCAACAGAGGGGGGGACTCTTCATTGGAAGAAGTTCAGCTAACTGGAAAATCATTGGGTTTAAAATCACGCAGCTGCATGCTAAGTTGAACCTGATTGCTGTGTCAAAACCAGAACAAGTTCAGCTGAACCACAGCTAAACTGCAGCTGAACTAATGTATGTTCCAAAGGTCGACCCCACACTGTGACTTAAAGCAAAAATAGACCTTTTCACTGGGGACATCTTGACTTGTCTTGCACTAATGCTGCGTTCCAGAAGCCTTGGAACTAGTCTACGATGTACAATGGAGTTCCTATAAACTCTAGGAAAATCCATCTACCCCAACTTCACAAAGAAGCTGTTGTCTGACATCAAACAACAATAGAAGCATACATTGTTAATGGTAAACCATCAACTACAGTTGTGTGAAAAAGTGTTTGCCCCCTTCCTGATTTCTTATTTT